TGGCTCCTGCCATCGGATCAGTGCGGTGCACCGGCCGCAGTGCGCTGGCCACGGCGGCCATTGGAGGGTGAACCAGTGGCAAAGGAAGACCTTTCTCTCTGTCTCTCTCTCTCACTGTCCACTCTTCCTGTCAAAAAATAAAAATAAAAAAATAAAAAATAAAAAAATACTAAGAGGGATAACGTATTAAGTTGTTCATCAACAGTCAGGGCAAGGGCTGATCAAGTCACCGTTTCTCATAGTGAAGATTTTCAATCATGTGAGCTTGGTTTTGTTTCAGTATGACAACTTTAGAAAATATGAATGTCTTTCCTATAAAATAATGATTTTGCCTGTGTGTGTCATATATTATTCCTTATCTGAAAAGTGTAATAATTACAGGAACATTACTGTCCCTAAGAAGTAAATTAGGTTCTTTTTATTTCCTTTCTCTTTCATGTGACTCTTTTTATTACTTAAGTAGTGTGACAAATGGGACTTAAAATTAACAATGTGCTATTGCTAAAGAAAAATGTCTGGCAGCAGCAGGGCTAGTTAAAAAACAATGTCACAGGTTTGGTGGAGTTGTCTGGAGGAAGGTTGTAATAAACAGAGCAATGGGACGGTTCGTGGTGTAGCAGAATGGAATTGTCCTTCCATTTACTCAAAGGACACACATTAACAAGCAGCCAATTGGGTACAACTCACAAAACATAGTAGTTGTCAGCCAGCAAATTATTGTGAGCTAAAGAGGATTTAAAACACCATACAGACTGAATGGGAAGACAGACTTTACAAAATGAATGGTTACTTAGATTTAAACAACAATTTGAAAGTGACCCCAAAAGCCCACCAGAGTATGAAGCCCCTGTAACTGTGATTACACATTTAAATCTGTTTCAATGGCTTTGCTATTTTTGAGTTTGATTAAATTATTCTGTCTTCTGATTCTCTGACTATTCTATACTACTGAGCTAGAAGCAAAAACTGAACTATGATTCTGAATACAATTTTATTATCTGTTTCATTAAGGTTGTTGTGATCCAAATTTATTATGGTTGCAGCGTTTGTGTAGAAAAACATACGATGTAAGTGTGCCCCCATGTGGTCTGGATTAGGCTGTAAGAATGTCAGAAAAGGGATTATTGATGAGAAGTGTGCTCTAGTTGGTTACGACATCTAATGAATACTTATTCCACTCCAGGCAGAACATCATGGCTTTCATTTTTAAAGTTATTGTAAATTTGAGAATTCACACTATCTCCCATAATTCTTAATGATGTTTTATTTCAAGCAGTCATACATTTTAACAAATGTGTCCACACTTGCTTCAGAAATAATACAGCATAGTAAAGATATACCAGTCAATACAAGATGTATATTTCTCTCATGTCCGTAATGTTCTGATAAAGCCAAGCTTGAGTAATTTTCTGCAAATGTTTTAGAACATTTCATTATTTGAAAAGATGAGGGATAAGTAAATTTGTACTGGGACAGGTTCATAAACTGAGAACATATTTTTCACAATTACATGATGTGATGTTTGTTTATAACTTTTGCTAATTAATGGGATATTCAATATTTATAGTAAATGCTGGCAACCATACAAATTTTGAAATTGCTTTTTTATAAAGCTTATTTTTGGAGTTGACAGCTTTCACAATGTTTCAACACAAAGGAATTGCTCAGTTCATACCTTTTTTTTTTTTTTTTTTAAATGTATCTTTTATTTATTTGAAGGAGCAACAGAGAGGGAGAGAGAGGGAGAGAAAGAGATCTTCCACTGTTGTTTTACTTTCCAAATGACCACAATAGCAGGGGTTGGACCAGGCTAAAGCCAGGAGTCTGGAACTCCCGTAGGGTCTCCCACAGAGGGGAAGGGGTCCAAGTACCTGGGCCATCTTCTTCTGCTTTTCCAGGTGCATTAGCAGGGAACTCAATGAGAAGTGGAGCAGCTGGGACTGGATCAGGCACTCTCCTCTGAGATGCTCGTGTTGCAGGTTAACGGCTTCACCACAAGGCAGAGGCCCCCGGCTCACACATGTCTTCATTTACCCCTCTAATTACTAGTCCCAGAATACCAAGTCTTTGACCAGCTCATGCGCCTGGAAAACCTCAGAGGATCGGTCCTAAAGTCCCTGCTGGATATACATCTACATCAAGTCTCTGAGGTAAATGCAGTCTCTCTGTATTGGGAAAACTTAGAAATGAATGGATTGGGCATGTGTGGTAAAAATCCAAGGTAAGCAGGTCTGGAGAGTGGTATGAGTTCAGGAAGAGAAACCTCCCATAACGGAGGAAGAAAACATCTGCTGGGTCATACTTGAGTACACTTGAGCTGGGTACATTTTTGTTTGTTTGAACACACACTGGGGTGGCAGAGACCTGGCCTGCCTCTTTGGAATGCTGTAAAAGCTGGAGTGCTGACTGCCCAATACAAGGCTGAACTTCCAGCTGAAGCAGGTGTCGCAATTTTAACCAACTCCATTTCTTGACTCTTTGGGAGTTTCTTAAAAGCAAATCTTCCCCTATTTTCATGTTGTTTTTGTCTTAAATTAGCACCAACTGTCATGAATCTACTTCTAACGTCTTACGTTGAAAATTAGAAAATAAAATCCAAAATACTTTCAATTTTAAAGATTGTAACTTAAAAAATAAAATGTGTTTATTTTGTCTCTTAAAAATTCTTTCCTAACTTTATCAAAATTCATTGTCTAGCATGGCAGTGTTTTTGATAATGAAGTAAAACTTGTAAGTTCCTTTATAGAATTAGAATTTAACAGTTGTTATTTTTTAATGATCCCGATTGACTTCTACTTTTAGTTTTCTTATTTAACATAGTATTTAAAGCTTTCAAAGAAAAAAATAAAGATTCATTTATTTGAAAGGCAGAATTATAGAGAGGGGAGATACTGAATAAGAGAGATAGACAGAGATAGAGACAGATCTTCTAGCTGCTGGTTCACTCCCTAGATGGCAGCAACAGCAGGGGCTGGGCCAGACCAAAGCCCAGAGCCTGGAACTCCATCATCTCCCACATGGATGCAAGAGCCCAAACACGTGGGCCATTTTCTGCTGCTTTCCCAAGCATGTTAGCTGGGAGCTGGATCAGAAGTAGAGCAGCCAGGACTTGAACCTACACTTATATGGGATGCAGGCTTCTCAGGCAGCAGATTAGTTCTCTACTCCATAATGCTGACCCTGAGAAAAAATGTTTTATAAACAAATATTTATGCCTATTTTTTTTTGCACAAGTCAAAATGAGATATATATGTATATATAATATATGTAAATACATTTGGAAAGCAGAGAAGCACACAAACAGAGAGAGAGAGAGAGAGAGAGAGAGATTGATTGATTGATTCCATCCACGGGTTGGCTCCAAGTCTGTGGCAGACCAAAGCTTGGAGTCAAAACTCAGTCCAGGTCATCCATGTATGTGAATTTCAGGGACCCAGTACTTGTGCCATCAGCTGCTGCTTCCTAGGTGTGCACTGGCAGGAAGCTGGAATTGGGAGCAGAGCAAGAGCTTGACCCAGGTACTCCAATATAGAACAAAAACATCCCAGCTGCTACACCAAAGGCCCATCCTGAGTCTATGGAAAGTCTATGGAAAATTGAATCATTTCTGGGCCCACCCTTTCCACTGGTGTCATCTAAAAGAGGAACCCTAAATCAGAAAAATGAGTAATTTAGCAATTGTTAATAATATTAATATCTCAAGTAATATTTCTACTTTCTGTAAATTCCTCACACTGACATGGATAACAGTTTAAAGTAGGGTAAAAGAATAAAAATACAAAGAAATGTGTGAAATTATAGTATCTGTATTCTTAATTTAAAATCTCATAACATTGAATATCTCCTAGCAAAATGCTGTATCAATATCATTGTCATATTTATTGGGTCTTTGCCAACAATTTCACTAGATGGCTGGACTAAATGATTGCTCATGCTACTTGTACTTAATCTCTTGGACTCCTTAATAATTTACATTCTGCAAAGGGATCTCAAATTTTTAAGTGTAATTTATTTTTTACTTGATTGCATTTGTTGAAAACTTCCTTGTGGTGTGTGTGTGTGTGTGTGTGTGTGGTGTGCACGTGCACACATGTGCAAAGCCTGGCACTCTATTCATGATGACTTCTTGAGTTACCATCATGCTTAGGTACTGAGAATGGAAACACATCCGAGAACAAAGCAGCAGCAACACTTGGAGAGACAGAGTTACCTAAATTGAATTGAAGACTGGTGAACTGCCTAATTTATGCTCCTTGCATCTCACCTGGCTTGTAAAAGCCCAGCTAAATCCCTTTTGAGAGTCTGTAAATTTTTTGCACTGAACTAATATTCTAACTGATAAAGAAAGATAAAAATTTTTTGAGATACACTCTAGGAGTGTAGTGAGTGTGTGTCTCTGTGTGTATTACATTTTTCTAAAAAAAGAAAAAAAAAGCCATCTTTGGTTTGTAAAGCATCAGTTGAGCTTTTTACAAGCAGGCTTTGACCACTAGAACACGAAATGCTATTTAGAGTGATTAGATCATACAGTATGAGTGGAGAAGCTCAGCCTTTCTCTTCTGAAGTCCCCCTACCTGCTTGTCCCTAATTTCTCCTTAATTACAAAGCATAAAAGCCTATTAGCACTGAGACATAATTTTTCCCTCTTGCTGTCTAGAATTGTCCTAAAGCCCATGTGACCACCACCGTAACAGTGTTCTGTGCCACCCTGAAATAGAACATGGGAAATGTATACTCCTCTGAGGACAATCATGGAGCTTACAGAGCTTTACCGCGTGTACTTGACCATCTACTTTCTCTCCTCTTCCACAAGGATGGTGCAAAGAGGTGCATTAATAAAATTTTCAACTCTGAAAATAAATTCAGCATTACTGATTGTTAAGCAAAAATGGTAATGGATAGAAGTGTGTGTATTCATTTGCATATATAATTTCCCAATTTCGCCTATATGTGTAATGAGCACTTCATTTGGATGGCTTAAAACAGAGCCAATGGACCAGTAAAATGACTCAAACCATTTTTAATAGTCCCTGCATACAAACATGATTACATTTGTCAGCAAAAGTGAAAGTCTTTCAAAATATGGCTAGTAGAAATAATACAGAGTACTCTGAATTTTCATTATTTTATGATTAAAATTAGGCCACATGAAGGAGTTTATTTCCAAGAAAATTCCCTGATACTAATGTATACTATTTCAGTTACCAAAATATATCAGTTTTAAGCCATAAGAACATAAAAAAACCCCATTGTCCATAACCCAGAGAAATTAAAACTTATTCAGATACAGATGACAACACATGGAAATTTTTTGTGTGAAAACATCTTGATTTATAATGCTAGTTATATTTCTAGGTAAGCTACCAGCTATTCAAACTAATAACACAGCCCTTTTTATATCCTGAAGTACTCCAGCAAGAGTAGAAGGCAGAGGGTTGATTAGAAGAGGCCACAGTCTTTCAGATTCTCTTTGATTATTATATCTGTCACTGCATCAAACACGAACTTGACATTTTGTGTATCAGTAGCACAGGTCATGTGGGAATAAATTTCCTTGTCTTCTTTTTTTAAATTCAAGTCCAGAAACTGATTCTTGATGTAGTTTCCAGCATCTTCAAATGTATTTGGCCCTTGTCAATTAAAAAAATAAAGAAATAAATAATAATTACAGATTTTAAAGAATAAATAGTATCAATATGTCTTAGGATTTTCCTTTGTGTGCTACTATTTGAGGTTCTAAGGGCTCTGTTTCAAAATCACAATGTCAAGGGTCATTTATCAGCATTTATGTAGCATCTACTTGGTGCTGGGAATTATGCTTAACCCACTGAAGACTTCTGGTGGCTAAAGTGTAAACTCTGCATCAAAAACTCATAATGCCATAGAAATAGCAACAAACTGAGTATATTATTCACCCAACAAACTGAGTATATATAAATATTATCTATCCACCTACCTACCTGTTCAAGAATTAATTGCTACAAGCTAATGGGAAAGAATCTCACCAGTATATTCTGGGAAGCAGATGCTGAGATGCACCTTGGTGACTTTTTCTTGAAAGAGATCTTTTTTATTGAGAAACAAGACAATGGAGGTGGTGGCAAAATACTTATGGTTGCAGATGCTGTTGAACAGGTGGAGGCTTTCATGCATTCTGTTCTGTAGGTATGAAAGATGAGCACAGGTAGGGTTATTATTTGCAAAATATGAACGTTGGGCCCCCTAAACAAGGAGCTGGAACAACTATCAGGTTACCTTCACTGGGCTGAGAAATGTGGTAATACTAAGGGACAGCACGAGTGTTGGTTTTTCACCTGGGCCTCGCTCTCCATTCACTTACCACTTCTTCGTCCTCCACCAGGACCATGTCATAGGCACTGAGTGCAGCACAAAATATGATGCACGTAACTCCTTCAAAGCAGTGAATCCATTTCTTCCTCTCTGATCTCTGTCCACCTACATCAAACATTCTTTAAAAAAATTCAAGTGAGTAATAATCTTACAAAATTCCTCCAAAATTTCTGTTAACATTTTGAGTAGTAAATGGATGCTCCCATATTTTTAAAAGGCATATTCTTTTTTTAATTTTTGATTGATTATAAAATAAATCTACTTTGGTCACCACACAAAAAGAGAAATTTCATCTTTTTATGTTGTCTTCATGCAGTCTAGAGTAAAATAAGTCACACACAGATGTTGAGCAGTTGGAAGATTTAAATGTTTAGATCTGTAGTAAAACATGTGTTATCTTTAAAAGCTTTCAATCTAAGTATATATCTGTTCTTTTAGAGGAACAGAAATGCAAGAATACAGGAAGCTACAGTAATTCTGATACCCTGATCTTGCCAGATCTCTTAGCTCTTTCTACATTCATTTGTTCACTCAAATAATTGTTTACATTTTATGTACTAGATGCTATCTATAAAAAAAAGATAAAAAGATGTGTTCACTATCTCCAAAGAGCTTGCTGTCTGATAGAAAAGCAAGTCATTATGCGACAGATATTCTGCTATACAAGATAACATATGAGCACACAGGAATATTTATTAGCCTGCAGGATCATGAGACAAACTCACAGAGCATGATTGAAAACAGGACATTCCCCTAATTTTGTGTTCTGGTAAAAGGCATCACTGGGGACAATAGCTCAATAAGGAAACTAGGAGTTATTGCTAAGACCTCAACTTCTAATTCATCCGTTCTTCCCAGCCCCTCACCTCTTGTCTAGGCCACCAACATTTCTCTCCACTCTTAGAGACTCAAACTTGATTCTGACGGCACTCAGAATTTTGTTTCATTGTATTGCATTTAATGTTTTAATGAAATTAGGTAAATTCCATGTTATGCTGCTTTCTTGTTTACAACCTTTTAATATGTCCTCTTTCCAAACTTAGAATAAAATACGAGCTGTGCTTGATGAGTTACGAGGTTGTAGCTGTCCTGGTTCCTGCTTGGGTTTCCAAGTTTATTTCATACCACTTACCTCCCTTCCATACAGTCTTATCTCAATGATATTTCAGTTTCTTTAATATAAACTGAATGTTTTGCTGCCTCAGCACTTTTGCCCAGGTTGTCTCTTCTTCCTGTGACACAGATTTCTTTTTTAATCTGCTTCTTTTCTCAACTTTCTGATGTTAGCACCAGTAGCTCCTCCATGAAGAAGCCTCGTGGGGTATCCATGTAAATTCTCTCTCTCTCTCTCTCTGTCCTCCATTTATGTCCTATAGCATCATTCTCTTTACTTAGTAAAGGTCACAATTGATAATTAACTTTTTTTAACATTTAATTTCCACCATTGCTCTCATAGAGTAGCATCTTCATTAGGGTAAGAACTTGATATGTTAGTAACTCCTGTATTCCCAGGTTTTGGCCCCATGCCACATACATAAAAGATATGCGATAAAAACTTGCTAAATACAAGGATTGTGCATTAATTCAGCTGGGGAGTAGGCTACACAATGTGCATATGAAAAACACCAAGGCATATGAGAACACGGCATGTTTGGAAAACTAAATAATTAATATTTTTGGAAATTTGAATAATAGGGTAAAAACATTGAGATGTGTGGTCTAACAATTATCCATTTATTCACCCATTCATCATTCATTTCATATATAGAGTTGTCTCTCAGTGTTCACAGAGGATTGGCTTCAGGACTCTCTCAAGTTAGAAAATCTGCAGATTCTCAAGTCCCTTATGTAAGATGAAGATGGCAGAGTATTTGCAAGAAACCTACCATGTTCTCTGTTCTACTTTCTTTTTTAAAAAATTAGCTAATTAATTAAATGTATTTGAATGGCAGAAAGAGAGAGGTGGGGGGAAGATGAGGGAAGAGAGAGAGAGAGAGACAGAGAGAGAGAGTGGGTGGGTGTGTTCACTCCCCAAATCCCTCATCAGAGACTAAGCCACGCTAAAATCAGAAGGCTGAAATTCATTCCAGGTCTCTCTCCCACATGGGTGACAGGGATTCAAGTACTTGATTCAGTACCTGCAGGAAGCTGGAATCAGGAGCCAAGCCAGGACTTGAACGCAAGCTCCCTGATGTGGGTTGCAGGTGTCTCAACTGATGTCTTAACTGCTGTACCAAACATCTGTGCCATATTCTTTAAATAACCTCTAGATTGTATGTAACACCTAGTGCAATGTAATTGTAAGTAGTCATTACAGTGTACTGTGTAGGGAACAATGATAAGAAAGAACGTCTACATATTTAGTGGAGAAGCAATTGTTTTCCTCTCAATATTTTCTGATAATGCTTGGTTGAGTTACGGATGTGGATACAGAGGGTTGATTATATTTACTGAGCACTTATCATATATGTGTCCCCAAGAAGTTTGTAATTTAGTGGTTGTAGTGTTGATGATGAGGAGGATGGTGACGGTCATGATGCGGTGTGTGATGGACACAGTATAGACTCAAGATACCCATATAGAATAGGGAGGGCAGGGGGCAGCAAGTAATCTGAAACAGCAGGACTCAGGAGTAAGCCCGGGGTGACTGATCAGAAATAGATAGAGTCTTTCATGTTCCATGAGACATGTACATTTCATATTGCAGTCCATGGAGGACTGTGGGAGAATTTCAGTAGGTATTTACTTTTTTTTTTTTTTCCTGCCTTTTTGTTGTTGCGTTAGGTAACTTTAAATACAGTGCAGAAGATAGATTTGATGAGGAAAAGACTAACAAAGAAATAAATTATGGGGCTACCATAACAGTCTAAGACCAAGATATTAAGTATCAAAAAGCACCCAAGTGGTCTAGACTTCAAGAGTAATGGTTTGGGATCATAAATGTCAACCAGCTGATTTGTGGAAGATAATCAAGCACCATGAAAAACGTTCATTATGAAAAAACCATGTTTTCAAGATTATTTTTGCACCAAAATAAACTTATCTTTAAGTGCATTTTCTGTGAACATTTTGAAGTATCTTCGAATGTGCACCAACGCAAAACCAGCCCATGCAGTAGTAAATTGAAAGAAGAGATGCTCACACTTTTGAAGACAATGGGTAAGAGTTCAATAGTTTGCAAATTTAAATCTAACATTAACAATCAATATTATAAATGCTGCTAACTACCCAAGTTTCTGCAGTTTCAGACATGCAAAATAAAAGGAGGCAGAGGACAGAGTTTTGAGTTTAAGGTTATATTATGTGGAAATTAACCAAGAAATTTAATTTCAAAAATCAGTGAAATTCTTATGGAAACATTAAGTATTCAGGCACTTAAATTTTTAGTCAAATATATTTTGTCAATCAATGATGGCAGCCTTATTTTTTTCAGAGTTTGCAGAATAGAGTTTATTCATTTAATGAAATTACACAAAATAGAAAATGTTGCAGAAATGGACACATATCAGACCATAACTTTTATTTCCTCTTAATTTTCATATCAGCAACTGTAATGAACTGATCCTAATTTAACACTCTTTAGAATAATTTACTATTTTCTAGGTGTCTAAACATCTTAGAATGAATTCAATATACCTCATCATAGAATTCAATACACCTCACCATGAACTTAGAAGGGAGGTGTAACCATTGTTCTCACTTTTCAGATGAGCTGTTAAACACCTCACTCAAGGCATATTCATCTGTTACTATTTGTTGACGTTTCTTATGTGATAGGCACCATGACAAGTTCTGTGGATATGAGAGCTATGTTGTAAAAGTTGTTCATTCCTCAGGTAGAAATCTATTCACTTAGACCAAAAGTCCTCAACTACAACTAACGTCTACAGTTAGCTCTCAGACTTTGATTAGTGATTGGCACGGTCTTCACTCTGAATCTATCTTTCTTTCTCTAGGCAGACAATAGTGTGTGTTGCCATTCTGGATTCCGAGTGTTGAACATATTCTTAATTTGATTGTGTGAATATATTATGACCATATTATGAATCACTTGTTGGCACAGAACTGTGACACTGTGAATGAGAAAAGATGGACTAACTTGTGGATTTTGGTGAGATGATGGTGAAGTATACAACAGTAGGTTCAAATCCTTTGTAAGATTTTGAAACAAACCTTTTCCCAGATCTCCTCCTGTGGGATTTTAGCATGTAAGACCCTCCACAGTTCTAACTGCTTCTTTTTCACTAACTTACTGGATAACTAATCACGGAATCAGGACAAAGGTAACTGAATGAGTGCAAAGTTGTGTCTACACAGAGCCTAGTAATCAAATTCCATGATACCTTGGTTTTCTCCACTGAGGAGGACTTGAATCAGCACTTCTAACAATATTTTTGAGCTTCCTTTTCTCTGCTTTTATGCCCAACTTCTCTATTTCCCTTCATTTTGATCAATTTTTTCCCTTTAGCCACATTGCATATGCAAATCTTAAAAGTGTGAGCAAATGTTTTTTTCTTTAAGGTATTGAATTAGCCAACTTTCCATTGCTACAATGAAACACCATTGACAACCAGCATTATCAAGGAGAAAAAAAAAAAAACAGTTTACTGTAGCTCACAGCTCTGGAGGTTGAAGTTCATAATGGGATGGGCCCATTATTTGATCCCTGATGAGGGTCCTGGATGGTAGGGTTGGAGCGAGCATGGAGAATAAATCACATGGTGAATTAGAAGCAGAAAGGGACATTGGGTCTAGACTCTGGTTTTTATAAGAAACTTCTCACAAGAACTACCCTGTGATGGCACCACATCAGTGACGCTAATGACCTTTCACTGGGTCCCTCCTCTGAACACCATCATTGGATCAAATTTCTACATTTTTGGGGGTCATTAACTTGTGACTTTGGGGTTTAAAGTTCTATAAGAATTCAGCTATATCATAGTCAAAGCATAGCAAGTGACTTTGTATAACTATTTACCTTCTTGGCATGGTGACAAAATATTTTACCTTGGAGAAAATAAATATTTCTCTCATGTTAATTTCATATTGTTTTGTTTTTGGCAGTGGAGTCCCCAGTGAATAACAGTAATAATAAGAATGAACAAGACATTTGAATCAT